TCACTAGCTGCAAGGACCCGCTTCGCTGGGTTTTTATTTGTAGGCAAAAAGTAACGATAGTGAAGATTAAGATAATTACATTATAGCCAATCTTACTCGTTTTCACAGAATGCAATAATTAGGTCCTCCGTTTCCTGACTAATTAGAGACTTGGTCCGAATTCTACTTCTGAACGTCTCCTGTTCACGTCCAGTCAAACGAACTATTTTCAACGTTTCTGGAACTTTTACAATCGTTTATTTTTGTACAATAATATAAGCAGCATTTACTGTGTTGTAAGATGTTTCTATTTTGTAAACATATCTTGCATTACAATGGTGCATGCGAGGAAAATAGGAGCACTTTCTATTTTGCTACAGATTTCTGTACAGTTCTTGCTGTACGTCTGTCACACTTTCAGATTGTCTAGGTTGGCATTTCATCTGAAACCCTAATGTCTAATACATGATAAAAATGAACCAGAAAGAGTACATTTAAATTATCATTCGAAAAGGACCAGAATGAACATTATATTTTCATTATTCATTCGTACTTATGCTTCAGTTTATTTGTATACTTTATAAATAAGAGAACATAAAATTTGAACATAAACATGGATACATAATATTTATAAATTTCATATGCAACAAAAAATACAATTTATTTTATAAAATGTATTTTACAATTAATTAAACAAATAACATTATTCCTGTAAATCACAATTTTATACAGTGCTTTTTCTAGAGTTAAACAATTTAACTTCAATCAGAAGTTTTGAACGTTTATTATGAAGTACTGTATATAAAAACTTTTTTATTACAAGATTATGCTGATATATTTTACATTGTGTAAAGGAAACAAAAAATGTCAAATTGTTAATATGAAGTTATGATAAATGCACTCGTTATTATTTTCAGTCGTGGAAGATTAATTAATAGAATATATTTTTATATTCTGCATTCTTCAGAATTCATCTGCATTCAAGGGGCACCTGTCAATAAGCGGTAAAATTTAGCTATGGAAAAACGAGATTTATTTTACCGTTGACCTACAGTATTTTCCTTAAGGGTAATTAAACAATTAAACAGCTGATCTTATCGTTTGAAATAATTTATTTTTTGTTTTTTGAAGTTCATATACAGTACATGTGCGATAAATTGTTTCTGTATCAGCCCAGCTTATTTCCGCGGTATTTTAAGAAAAACAATATTGAAGTAATTTTCGCGGGCAAAATAAAATATTCAAAAAACAATAAACGCAATAACACAAAACCAGTTTTTACAGGCAACCTTCCTTATTCGATGGCCCACCAGTTGCCAAGCGGTCTTCGTTCTCTGAACACTGTGAGTTCGGTTGTGGGATCGCCCCTCGCTCGGACAGGCTGACCACATAGAGTTTTTCGGGTTTCCTCTTTATAAAGGGGCCAGTTTCCCTTAAAAAGACCTCCCGGAATGCATCGCCCGTAAGCAGATCGCCCAAGTGTTGCGTTGCCACAAACAAGCAATCGTTATTCGATTCTGCGATTGTCATTGATGTAATGAAATCTTATTGTCAGAAAAAATAATAAAATCGTTTTATTATTAAGTACAATAATATATTATTAATTAAAACAATATTTAAAAAATTCTGTATTTTTAAAGTTAAAATAAGATTAAACTAACGAAAATTAAATCCGAAGTGGTGGAGACATATTACATGTTTCTATATCGATGACAACTGAAGAGCGAACAAAGAAAACCAAGTTGAATTAATTAATTGGGTCGGAAAAAAGGAAATGTACATTATAATCGAGAAAATGCGAATAATGTATTAATTCTTAAAACACTGGTATTTAATCTGTCTTATAAAATCACCACGACTTCTGCTCTATTGTTGAAAAATTCTCTTATTTTTGATCACCTAGAGTTTAGCCATATCTGTGCGGAAAATACGTGTGGAAATACGATATTAAAGCATTACCTGTTTTAGACGACCACCTGTCTATAAGCCCACTTTTTGAAGGAACTATGGATGGTCGCCATAGACAATTTTTACCGTAATTAAATCGGGTGTTTGTTTCACTGCAATTGTCAAACTGAAACTGTTAGCAGCACACAAAATTTCTACACATATTATCTTTTCTCGAACATTATTTTCAAGAATACATAATTACAATGATATTTAGCAACTCTTATCATTTGATATGAGTTTACAAATATCGTTACTTTCTAGACAATAAATTCTATGGTGAGAAAGTACATGATTATTACCTTAAATTATCGTTAATCGCTTATAACGGATTTATATTGTTTTTTTGTTATAAACTAATAACAGAAAATTATACTCAATCAATTCGTTAAGTAATAATGTCTTTTAGATGTACGAACATAAAAAAATAATACAGATATTTCCTACAAAATGTCGTCTCACAGCACGTTCTTTTTAATTGTTATTTATTTTTGTTATCATTTAGTTATTTATAATTGGAAAAACTAAAAATAAGATAAGCGTGTAAGAGGTATATATCGTGGAAATGTTTCCAATGAAAGTGGTTAAAATAGTAATAAATACAGAGAAATTGCAGAAAATTATTTATCGTCTAATAGTCTTTGAAGAGAAGCTATTATTTCAAAAAAAATATAGTATAAGACATGATATTTTTATTAAAACTTTATAATATTAGAATAATTTATAGCACCCATGGAATAAAGATAGGTAAATGAATTCTCTGAAATTGAAAGATAAACTCGTGAGAAGGATTTTAAATAAATTGATGATTATATTCATAGTTTACGTCCAAAAACTTACATTTATAAAGAATAAAGTTAAAACAAAGAAATTTCTTTGTTTGTTTTTTGTTATATTTGTCGATCGTCAACGCGATCCGAAAGGAAGTACAAGTCGACCTCCTTATAACACTGTTGATAATTCCGTATTATATGAATTCCATGTTGTACGAGTCACTTAAATTTTAGAAATACGTGTACCAGGCTATGAACGGCTCACGTATTTATAAAATCTAAGTGACTTGTACAACATGGAATTCATATAATACGGAATTATCAACAGTGTTATAGGGGGGTCTACTATAATATACCCATTTCAACAGCCTAGGAGTCTTTCTATGAGTATATTACTCCCGGGAAATCCTTTAAGGGAAAATGACACTTAATTAGTAAATAACTTGAAATTCTCATGCGGCCAGCACGTTTTTTTAACAACGAACCCAATATTGATTATCAGTGTTCAGTAGTTTTATCAACTTGGCACTAATGGACTGGTAACAAATGACACTTGAATGCAAACGTAATGAAAAGTTGTTGCAGAACAATGGTTAAATCGAAGCAACTTTACTCAGTTGTAGGATCTTGTTTTCCTTACTCACATGCAGCAATACGTTCGGGTGTGGAAGGCATACAAGGTAAATATATAATAATGCTACAGATTTCTTTACAGATGCAACTCTCATTCCAGATCGCTCAAACTTATAGAGTGCAGAATCTAGTGTCTCACATTCTTCAAATAGTAGACAGCAACATAGATGTCTCGAAAAATTTAGAATATATACAAACATACACAAACACAGTCTCTGTTTTCATTAATTAACATCGAGAGTTAGGCAAGGTTCATTACGACCAATTATTCATTTACGTATTTAAGCTTTAGATTATTTTAAATAAGTGATAAATAAAAAAAAATTTATATAAACATAAATATAAAAATATAATATTAATAACGTTCTTACACTCCAAATTATGTTATTTTTCTAATAGAATGTATTTAATAATTTTTTATGCAAATAACATTGCAATAACATTGTACTTCGAGTTTTTGAGTGATGTTCTTTGAAATTCTTTGTACCGGAGTAAAATCAATTCAACTCGAATCAGAAGTTTTCAGCATTTATTACGAGTAAGTATATACGAGCTTCTTGATTTAAATATCAAATATATTAAGTATAATCTTCGAAAGCTGAAAACGTATCGAAAAAATTCCAAATTAATAATATGAATTTATATTAAATACTTGCATTATTCTTCTGAATCATAGAAATTAATGACTAAAATACTAATTGAATATTTTACCTTTTTCTTGTTTTTAATAAATGAATACCTTATGTATAAGTGTCGATTAGGTGTTTATGTTTCTAGCCGCAATAAATTAAAATGTTTTTGTTATTTCTGTAAGAAATTTTATCATCAAATTCAGTATTTCTATTGACTACTCGAAATTGTCTTAAACAATTAAAAACATTTAATAATATATAAATTTCTGAAACTAAGGTAGTTGGTCAATTGCCTCATCTATTGTACTTTACTACGACAAATATTAAAAATAACTAGTTTTTAATATGATTTCAGTATTATAAGCGAGCATTCTGTATTATAGCCAGAAAATTAAACATAATATGAAATAAACAGTATTATAACAGTAAAATGGCATGTAACAAATGTATTCTTATGTTATAGTACTAAATATGTTTCCAATAAAAAACTACTATTAAGCATACCTAGCTACTATAAATAAAGTTATTATAAATTATTATATTACTACTTGAAATTTCATGTTTCCTATGATTAAAACACTAAAGAACTTTTATAGTAAGATATATAAATTATTTATATTAAACATTTTTTGTTTAATTTATATTAATAATCGCTAATATATATTGTTTCAAATACATTAGTGTCTTAGTATTGAAAAAATGTGAAAACCATTATTGATATTAATTATGTGTACGTGTAAACAAAAAACTGTTATAAAGTAACCCTGACTTACTTTTTATGTGCTGTGTTCTTCTTGGTTCCATCTTTTTCGGTGGAAGTATGAAAATACACATACTATAAAAATTGTTGGCTAATTATTAATACACATTCCACTTGACAGCCTTATGTCTTTTACCTTCTACTTGTACGTGCTTAGTTGCACCTGCTAAGTTATGGCACTGTTTTAATTGTACGTAAGACATCCTACTGTTTAATTTTTAGTTAAAACTTATGTCAAGTGTATAATAAAAACATTTTGTTTTTTTTTACTTTTAGATTTTCAAGTGCCCAAAAATGTCAAGGGTATGCGAAGAATGCGGAAAATCTTTTGCCAGACCATACAATTTGAAACGTCATTTACTAATTCACACAGGAACGAAACCCTTTAAATGCGATATCTGTGAACAAACGTTCTCAATGAAAGAGAACTTGAATCGTCATATGAGAAGTCATGCCAGTACTTCCGGTGCAATATTCGAATGTACAATATGCGGTAGAAAATTTACCCGAAAAGAAAATTTGGAAAATCATCTTCGGATACATACTGGTGAGAAACCATTTCCTTGTGATTTATGCGACAAGAGCTTCAGAACTAAGTCGTTGATGCGTGCTCATTCGAAAACTCATTCTTCAAGCCCTTACACTTGTCCTACATGTAATGCAACTTTCAAAACGAAAAAAAATTATGAACAACATTGTCTGAAGCATTCCAGTTTAAATCAGTTTATATGTGAAATCTGTAACCAATGTTTTGGAAATAAACAGGAATTAGATGATCACAATCTCGCTCATAAAGACGAAAATCCATTTCTTTGTGAAGTCTGTAAAAAGAAATTTCCTAACGTTTCTAGCTTTCACAATCACTCCAAAACTCACAGCCGTGTACGTTGCGGTGTATGTAGTGCAGCATTTCTTTCAAAGGAAGCTAAGAACGAACATATTCTGAAGATTCATGGAAAGGACTACCTCGATTCAGAATCTGATTAAAGCATTGTTATCATCTATGAATAATTATAATTCAAATTAAATTCATTTTCACATCCAGAAATTAATGATTTTTTTAATATTCTATTGTTATCATTAATTTTATATTTATCTTTATTGTTCTTTCTTCTTGTTGTATCTACTGAATATTGATGTGGTTCATAAATAAAGTATATTAAAAGGTTTAGTTAAATGTTATATAGCAGATTCGACACTGTGGGATTCATGTGAATAAGCAAAGCATGTTCGAAAACAAATACGTTTATTGAAAGAGTTCGATTTCGGAATTTCTTGTGCTTTAAAGCTCATCATTTGACGGGTAAATAAATATTATCTGGAATGGTAGTTAATCGTTGGTTCGCGCCTCGCAGTCGGGCCACTAACTTTGGAGTTTTCGGGTTTTTTTTCATTCGTAATACCTTAATAAAGGTTAAATACCCTTCGGAAATTTTTCAGGAAGAAGGATCTGCGAATTTGGAGGAATGACACGTGACGCCTTGCGGTATACTAAGAAAGTAAACCACACAAGTGCTCCAAATTATCCAACGCCGTGTTGTTTGATTTATTAAATAAATCATTATCATTCAATTACTTATTGTATTTCTATGCAATGCTGTAGTTCTGTACTGAAACCGGGCGAAGAAATAAGTGTTTGTTTAAACTATATATCCATGGTTTTCCTACTATATATTATCCCACCAGTGGTCAAGCGGTCTTCGTAACCCGAACACTGGGAGTTAGTTCGTGGATTTGCGCCTCGCTCGAACGGGGTGACCACGTGGAGTTTTCCGAGTTTCTCCCGGAAAACTTCACATAAAAATCCGTTCAATCGTTTTTGATTAAACTTTGCCATTATTCATTTATTGCAGTGCAGAATCCAAAACTGGGAGTTCCTGACATCGTTCTCGAGAAATAATAATATTTCACCAGCGCGTGAGATAAAGCGAAATCGCACGAATCGTGCGACGTTGCCGTGCGATGTTTCACATTCGCTAGTCCGTCTTGTATGGGCTTATAGAATCGAGTGTGTTCTCGTAAATTAATAAATTATAAAATGGTAACAAAAAACTTAATTTAATGATAAGGATGGGTTTTATAAAGAATTGTAAATGCTAATAATGATTAAAATCGTTATTAAGTCCTACTCTTTATCTTACCAACCCGTCGACCTTAATTAAACTACTAAATGAACTTTTCTAATACACAAATCTATTCTGAAAAATTTCAGAAAATTTCGAAACCACAACATTTATTAAGCTTTAAGGGTAAGAAGACCGTGCCTTACACAAAAATTAGCATCCATAGATACAGAAAAAACTCTGTTTTTGCAATTGTCGACGTTTCAACGTTTCCTAACGTCTTTTGTGCGGAAAGTGCAAAGTTCTCTTGTCCGCGTCTGCTAGGTACTGTACAAGAATCGCCTCTTACGTGCTTAACAGGTGCAGATATCGTTTCATTTCTATTGCGATACGACAAAGTCGCGCGATGTTTAAGTTATATTTAATTAACAGCGGAAACACATGAATTTAGAATATAACCTGTCAAGTAGGTACAAAAGAGAAGCATTTCAAAAAGTATTAGGAGAACGTTTTTTTTATATGAATGACTTATAAAACATGAAATTTTTTCGTTAATTCTGAAATACGTTAAATCGAGGTTTTACTGTAATGATCTACAGAAAATTGTCATAAAAGTTTTTGTATGAATTAGCTTTATCGAAAGTACTTTGGCCGAGTCCTGAGGCAAGCAAGCGAAGCTAACTTAACCATGAAACATTGAAAAATTGTGTTGTTCGGCGAATTCACAGAAAAAAAAAATGTTGCTTTCTATGCCAAAGATTTTCCTCTTTTCCAAGTTTCACTTTGATAAATAGATTAAAAATATGTAAAATTTAAAATTTTAAACTTGTATAAGACATAATTGATGTATTTCAAAGACATTTTCGAAGAATATTTTATTATGTAAAGGAGAATTTTAGTTTAATATAACATTCACAGACCGATACTGTGTCAAATAAATAGATTTAATATAAATAGTTTACGGGAATGTATTTACGTTCTTTGTCCACTAATTCTCGAATAGTTCGCTTCTGTGTAACGTGTTAAAAACATGGAGTTTTCTGGGTTTCATTCATATGTATACTCCTCCAGTTGTCTGCGAGGAACCTCACGTATGCAGATCGTCCATGTGTTGCTTATGTTTATGCTACCAATCCAATTTACGTAATCAATGTATAAATTAATCAACCCAATTATTTCTCTTTATAAATCCTGTAATATAGCATTAGTAAATTGTGAGAAGACCACCACTTCCCCCTCCAAAAAATATCTAGATATATATATATATATACAGTAGAGCGTCGTTTATCCGAAGGTCGGTTATCCGAAATGTCGGTTATCCGAAGGAATTCCAGTCGACAAATTTAAATTTTCGCCAGTGCTGTGGCGCTGTAATCTTTGGCTATGTCTTCGGCTACTCAAATATTTTACGTTTTTGATACTAAATTAACTTCTGAAGTATAATTTTTTATTGTTTTTATATTTTTCAATATATTTATTTTGTTTGTACAAAATAAAAAAATAATTTTTAACGATACAATAGTCTTCGTTAGGCTTAACATCGACGAAAATTCAACGCGAAGCGACACGCAACGAAGAAAAATTTCAACACGGGATAAATTAATATATTTTTTCGTACATAATTGGTTATCCGAAAAATGAGTTATCCGATCAACCCCAGTCCCCAATTTATTCGGATAAACGGCGCTCTACTGTGAGTCGCATGAATTCGAATATCCGTTGTTAGGCACACCCTTGTTGTATAGATAAAAATAGGAAAATTTCCAAAATCAGCTTTTATAATTCTGTTTTAAACTTTTGTTTATGTTAATAAATGTCCTTAAATTGGTTATATCTGACTCTGCATTCTTCCTCCTGAAAGGCTAATTCCTGGACTTCAGAGTGGCTCTTACCCTCGCTCTTTAGTCATCCATTTCATCAAAAACGGCAGTATGTCCGATAAAACACACCTGGTGGCAGGACTTTACCCAAAAAGGTACGTAATAAACCTTTACAGCCCTCGAACCCCACAATTGTCTTTCAATTTACGTTTCATTTCCATTTATGTCATACAATGAAATATTCAAGATCTTAATAGGAATCGTGCACATAAAAAATACAAAAAAGTCATTTTATACGTTTAAATTATAACAATAATTTAAACGTATAAAATGATTTTTTTTGAAAAACGTATAAAATAGCGTAATCTAAAATTTAGTTATGAGTTTAAAAATTCATATTACAATAAATTTTTACTGTTATACGTGTGTGATTTATACAGTAACACTTATAATACACTTTTCCATCCAGTAGTTAGCTTGAAAATTCTATGTATATTTAAATTCCATATGTTAGGAACATATTTTCTTACATAGTTTCATTAAGCTTTGGATCATTTCTGTATTTTAATTATGTTGAACAACTTAAGGTAAGACATGAAAAAAATGGAAAACTGGCCTGATCAAGAAAAATGATACAAAAAAACATAAAATTTACATCATAACATAAAAAGTGAGATCTCCACATAAGAAAAAAATATACAATTGATATGGAAGAGATAAATGAATACGCAGAAGATAAAATAATCTCTCTTTATTGTTCAATATGACATCTCTGCTTTGCAGTTACTATGAACAATAGAGCAGAATAAGGTTACGAAACATATTAAGCAAAGGAAATAAACTTGAATAATGTATTTAATAGAGATTAATAAATTTATATATATATATTTTTAGTCATTATGTCATAGGTTAAATTTCTACTTCTTCCAGTGTATATGCTAATGACCACTCTTATGAGGAAAAAAATGAATATACCATTTACAAAAAGCCGGATAGAAACATTATCGCTACTGTCGATAAAACAACAGGAAATCACCTTAGATTTTTTTGCAAAGTACAAAAGGGCGAACCAGTGGCCAAGCAGGTCCGTTTCCTGAACACTGGGAGTTGGGTCGTTCACAGGAAACGGAGTGGTCTTGCCAGGACGGGCTGGCCACGTGGAGTTTTTTCGGGTTTTCGCCACGTCTGTAACGCCTGAATAGGGGCTAGATACCCTTAAAAAACTTCCGGGAAGACATTTCCCTAGGTAGATCGCCCAACATTTGCGTTGCCGTAACTTAACTGAAAATAAACAATCAAAGTGCATAAGCACAAAATTAGCAACAGTATAATGAGCAATTACGAGTGTGGAACACATACTTCAATTGGTGCACTTATTCATAAATTCGGATAAATGACACAATAAATATACTTTTCTGTCATTTAGTAAAAAGAGAAGTAAGAAATTTTCGAATTTTAACTCAAGTATTTCATAGTTACTTCTATTTGCACTTCCTTAATATTAATTCTAAAAATATAGCCTAGCCCATATATTTTAAAATGTATTTCAGCTTACTAGTTAACTCTGTATATTTTGGAGACAATACCTTCATATGTTTCTAAACATTCAATTGTTTTTTAAATGCGATATTGAGTTACTATAGCAATAATCAGTAACAGCAGCTTATTTACGCATTGCATTCGATATGTAAAATTTTATGCTGATAAATTACTAATCAAATTAATTAAAGATGTTTAAAAAATAATTATATCAATAATATTTTATTTAGAAATAATAGATGTTAATTAATACCTATGCATAACGAAAGACATGAGGCAGCTGTGGTTAAGCTGAGACACAGCTCATCACATGTTCTGTCTGGTTAATTAAAAAGGGGTTACAAATAATGTCTTTGTGATTCGCTAGACATAACGTAACAACGGTCTGTATAAAGTCATCCTAAAATGCCAACCCAGGGCTTTGAAAATTCGGGATGTAATCAGGGAGTAAGCCGAAAATATATTTATGTCCGCACATCTCAAATATGTTGTCATGTTTCTAACTATAGTAGACATGGTCTATCAAAAAAAAGTTGTGTTAGTTGACAAAAAAGTTGTGTTAGTGCCCATAGAATACAGAGTCTTAAATAAATAAGTATGTGCTTATTGTTTATGATTTAAAATTTAGTGATTGACTCCTAGCAATTATGCATAACAGAATTCTAACATTTTAATCTTTTTTTCAGACATAATGCATCAAATTTTCATCCTGATTTATTTACTAATACATAAGTACCATATTTCATTATGAACTGGCTTTCTTCTTTTCAATTTGATGTAAGATGTAGACGGATAGTAATGACTTTATTAACAGGTATGATTTACTTACAACAATATTTATATATTATATTTAGTTTTAATATAAAAAAATATTTTTTTTAGTATAGAACATATCTTTATTCTTTAAACTGTACGTACTGATTTCAGAACAAATACCCTCTTATTCCAAGAAATTTATCTTATGCAAATAGCTCTTATCTTAACTCGTTCTTATAATATTTTACATTATAAAATTTAAAAGTTACACGCTCAGAGTCGTCGATAATTATTATCCATTACTATTGAGAGTTTTTATTCTAATTTAAGCCTACATAATTATACACACGAACACAAGACAAACGTTTGTAACAACAGTATTTAGAGTATTTAGATAAGAATAGAAAGTCAATGTGCTTATCTATCTTAGAATATATAAACGCCATATTAACCCATATCTGTGTTCAGATCTTTCACTTAATTACACACATCAATCTTAGTTTTATTACATTTTGTTTCGTTAATAAACAAATTTTAAGCAATATTTGCAGTTTTCTCTCGCATCACAAACTTGTGTTTTACACGAAGACAAGCAAAAGAATATCTCATAGGATATGCAACGTGCGATGACATGCAACGTCTGTATGATCCACTAAAAAATTCTTAGAAACAAGGAGTAAAGAAGTAAGGATACAATAAAAAACATATAACTACATACGTATGTAGATGTAGAGCTGTATAAAAATGTGTATGTGAAAGCAAGTTACAGTATTAGATTAATTAGAATTAATTGAAAATGTGAACAACCGTGCAATGCAAGGAAGCATTATAATTGCAGAATAAGTCACATCCAATCAAATAGAAATTAATTTCTCAAAGAAAACATCGTATAATTGATAAAACATTCACAGCAAATTTACAATATTATCATTGAAGCGAAGATAAAAAAAAACTAGGTCAATTTTTGTTAATTAGATAATGTAATTAATTCATTAAATTGCAGAAAAATGTGTTAAAATATCTTGAATTATGTAAATTCTCATTCTGAGAATTTAAAATCAAAACTTCTTAATATATTTTTTTAAATGTCTAGCAGATTATAAATGTAAGATGAAAGGTCGTTTTACTAGTACAAAATCCTGTTAGAATGTGATTAATATAGAAAGGTGGAGAGCATTATCTACATCATCATCACTCTGTAAATAATCAAAGTTTACCTGAGTAAAAAGATAAGCTTTGCGTATTATTACTTAAAATTTATGCAAAAAACTAGCGTATATTATTTGATTCGTTCAGTAAAACTAAACAATAATAAACACCTAGTTCTGTCGCCAGAAAATTGACAAATTGAAAGTGTTAAAAATACACGTTCATATTCAAGCTTAAGGTAAGATAACTTTATTAATGAATTAATCCACTGATAGACTCTCGTGATGTCCTTGTAAGTATCAAACTGTAAACAAATACTCTATTGTTTAAAATGCATACCTAATACTGTTTGCTAGGTTAACAAAATGAACACACCTCTAACTCCTTACCCACTTGAGACAAGTTGATGGATGATTATTATTATTATAACTTTTTCTATTTAAAAATTTTTCATTTTGTACTTAAAAAAAAGATAGAGTTATATTTGTAAAAATCTTGATGCAACATTTTTTGATCTTGAACCAAAGAATTGATCTGAAAACTAATGTAATATAAAATATTTTACTGTAGTTTTTTTATATATATAAATTTTTTATCCTCTAGTTTAACTATTGAATTGTAAAAGTTAACTTAGCAAATTTTGTCGGATTTTTTGCGTGTTTTTTAACATTTTAAGATGCTAACGTAATTCGTAATCATTTAAATCTATGTATGATGAATAATTGTGTCTCTCATAACAATCACGAAGCCCACAATGGAGAAAAATTTGACATATGGGGCAAAACACGTCATGAAGAAACCATTAATAAAATTCTATAAGTACTACACGAATTCGAAGCGTGGAGGAAGACTGACTTCATTTCACTCTTCGACCAAAGCATCAGAGATAAAATGAATAAATAAAATATTTCTTGGTCATACCCCTTATTAATATAAAAAAATAATTCGAATAGCGCTGTTTTAAGTATTGAGTGGCAAAATATTTAAGTTTTCTTGTATTAAGTTTCGTGTGCACTTCAAAATAACACGGAAATAGCTATTTTTGCACATTTCGTAACATTGGTAAAATTAAATACAAACTCATATTTATATAAACTTTTACGTGAAAATTTAAAAATTCTGAATTTTTGTTCACGTTAATTATTTAATAATTAATATAATTTATATATAATTAGTTATACAAGAATAACAAATGTGACCGTTGAACCTTTTTCTAGCCTCGTCCCGGATCTTAGTTTCGGTTTTGATTTCGTTTTCATTATAAATTCGGCTTGTTTTTCGTCTTCAACAAATGTAATTTTGCTCAAAACGTAAGAGATGGGTCCGAAGAAGAAGGGAAAAAGTGGAAAAGGAAAAGGCAAGTAACCATTAAGAATTAAATTAGTATTTAATATACTTTATATTTAAAATCTGTATATTAAAATTTTCGACTCTTCCTTTTTATGAATCATGCCAAATGTAGAAAACAATGTTGCAAAAAACGCTCGAGCCTGTTCATAAGTTGTGAGTTGACGAAGTTCAGCGTGACAGATGGTAACAGGTCTCAAATTTGCTCATTACGAGTGGACTAAGTTTAATGTACACATTTATAATTATTTATAAATGTCGGCATTATTTAAAAATAACGCATTACACAGTCATCACTGAGTCACTCCTTAACAAACGTTACAAACAAGTAATTCGAGGTATTGACACCTCACCACACAGCTGCCCCATTGTAAAGCCTTCCAACTCAACCCTTCGAACTTTCATGAAAAAGTGTGTTGAAAGGTGAGTTTAACTCCTATTCTGGAGTTTCGTGCGAAAATATTTGCAACATATTGCATATTGCTTGGCACCATAGAGACTAGAGAGATAATTTCATCTAATCCATACTTATCATCTATATTACAATTATAATTAGATTAGATAAATTACAAACTTGTTATCTGGGAAGGATAAATGCAAAAGAGAAATATGAAAATACAGTTTGTAGAATGAGCGTAGACGAAACTAGGCACTTTTATATATTTATTAATCTGAATCATATAATTACATTGTTTTATTTGTTTTACCTATTATAATTCTAATAGTAAATAAATAGAATACAAGATAATACGACAATGTGTTATTACACTGTTCAACGTTATAATATTACTGTAATACACTGTATATTAAAATGTATCACTATTATGTAGATTGTACACTACTATGTTATATTATTGTACCAGTACATAACCTATTTTTATAATTTGTACCGGTACATAATTCATTGGAGTAGAGAGTGTGAGTTTTGGATGTTACTTAAATTTAGACTTTAATTTAAATTTTCGTTTAATCTCACGTATGTAAAGCGAAACAATCGATAAGCAAGTGCAGTTCATAGTTATCTACCCAAAAGTTATGCAAATGATGTTCTAGACATCTTCTACACTGACAAGTAAAAGAATAAATTTAGGGAATGAATAACGCTTTACATTCGGGCTATGAATAGCAAAATAATTACATTGACAGGAATTATTTATATCTTAATATTTGCACATAATCGTTTATTTGTAAACAATTGTTACTTTAAATAATTAATCTGTATATAGGATACGTATAATTAAATTTACGTCTGTCTGCTGTTTCTTTGATTATTACTTAAAAGCAGCTAATAAAATTTATATTTTAGCATATAGGTTAATTTCCAATTAATGCGGATGTCTGTCTATAAGGATATAACGTAATAATTTTTAAATCCTTCTAATGTTGTACATTGTATTTAGTATAAATTCTTATGTAAAGTATGCTTTTGGTTTGATTTATTATAAGTACACTAGTAGCCTGGGACGCGCCCTAGTGGGCGTTATTTACACATCTCCATGAGGCACAGTTCCTTTGACTTGTTTGTTCTATCAATATTCTGTACATCTCTGTTAAAGTCCCAATTGTAAGATTTACCCTTTGAATGAAGAGGTGGCAACCCCACCCCAAACTGTAGCCCCTCTGCGAACAATAAAGTCAAAGAAACCATACCCCTACTCGCGACCCTTCTCGAGATATAAGCCCCTAAAANTTTTATAGTAAGATATATAAATTATTTATATTAAACATTTTTTGTTTAATTTATATTAATAATCGCTAATATATATTGTTTCAAATACATTAGTGTCTTAGTATTGAAAAAATGTGAAAACCATTATTGATATTAATTATGTGTACGTGTAAACAAAAAACTGTTATAAAGTAACCCTGACTTACTTTTTATGTGCTGTGTTCTTCTTGGTTCCATCTTTTTCGGTGGAAGTATGAAAATACACATACTATAAAAATTGTTGGCTAATTATTAATACACATTCCACTTGACAGCCTTATGTCTTTTACCTTCTACTTGTACGTGCTTAGTTGCACCTGCTAAGTTATGGCACTGTTTTAATTGTACGTAAGACATCCTACTGTTTAATTTTTAGTTAAAACTTATGTCAAATGTATAATAAAAACATTTTGTTTTTTTTTACTTTTAGATTTTCAAGTGCCCAAAAATGTCAAGGGTATGCGAAGAATGCGGAAAATCTTTTGCCAGACCATACAATTTGAAACGTCATTTACTAATTCACACAGGAACGAAACCCTTTAAATGCGATATCTGTGAACAAACGTTCTCAATGAAAGAGAACTTGAATCGTCATATGAGAAGTCATGCCAGTACTTCCGGTGCAATATTCGAATGTACAATATGCGGTAGAAAATTTACCCGAAAAGAAAATTTGGAAAATCATCTTCGGATACATACTGGTGAGAAACCATTTCCTTGTGATTTATGCGACAAGAGCTTCAGAACTAAGTCGTTGATGCGTGCTCATTCGAAAACTCATTCTTCAAGCCCTTACACTTGTCCTACATGTAATGCAACTTTCAAAACGAAAAAAAATTATGAACAACATTGTCTGAAGCATTCCAGTTTAAATCAGTTTATATGTGAAATCTGTAACCAATGTTTTGGAAATAAACAGGAATTAGATGATCACAATCTCGCTCATAAAGACGAAAATCCATTTCTTTGTGAAGTCTGTAAAAAGAAATTTCCTAACGTTTCTAGCTTTCACAATCACTCCAAAACTCACAGCCGTGTACGTTGCGGTGTATGTAGTGCAGCATTTCTTTCAAAGGAAGCTAAGAACGAACATATTCTGAAGATTCATGGAAAGGACTACCTCGATTCAGAATCTGATTAAAGCATTGTTATCATCTATGAATAATTATAATTCAAATTAAATTCATTTTCACATCCAGAAATTAATGATTTTTTTAATATTCTATTGTTATCATTAATTTTATATTTATCTTTATTGTTCTTTCTTCTTGTTGTATCTACTGAATATTGATGTGGTTCATAAATAAAGTATATTAAAAGGTTTAGTTAAATGTTATATAGCAGATTCGACACTGTGGGATTCATGTAAATAAGCAAAGCATGTTCGAAAACAAATACGTTTATTGAAAGAGTTCGATTTCGGAATTTCTTGTGCTTTAAAGCTCATCATTTGACGGGTAAATAAATATTATCTGGAATGGTAGTTAATCGTTGGTTCGCGCCTCGCAGTCGGGCCACTAACTTTGGAGTTTTCGGGTTTTTTTTCATTCGTAATACCTTAATAAAGGTTAAATACCCTTCGGAAATTTTTCAGGAAGAAGGATCTGCGAATTTGGAGGAATGACACGTGACGCCTTGCGGTATACTAAGAAAGTAAACCACACAAGTGCTCCAAATTATCCAACGCCGTGTTGTTTGATTTATTAAATAAATCATTATCATTCAATTACTTATTGTATTTCTATGCAATGCTGTAGTTCTGTACTGAAACCGGGCGAAGAAATAAGTGTTTGTTTAAACTATATATCCATGGTTTTCCTACTATATATTATCCCACCAGTGGTCAAGCGGTCTTCGTAACCCGAACACTGGGAGTTAGTTCGTGGATTTGCGCCTCGCTCGAACGGGGTGACCACGTGGAGTTTTCCGAGTTTCTCCCGGAAAACTTCACATAAAAATCCGTTCAATCGTTTTTGATTAAACTTTGCCATTATTCATTTATTGCAGTGCAGAATCCAAAACTGGGAGTTCCTGACATCGTTCTCGAGAAATAATAATATTTCACCAGCGCGTGAGATAAAGCGAAATCGCACGAATCGTGCGACGTTGCCGTGCGATGTTTCACATTCGCTAGTCCGTCTTGTATGGGCTTATAGAATCGAGTGTGTTCTCGTAAATTAATAAATTATAAAATGGTAACAAAAAACTTAATTTAATGATAAGGATGGGTTTTATAAAGAATTGTAAATGCTAATAATGATTAAAATCGTTATTAAGTCCTACTCTTTATCTTACCAACCCGTCGACCTTAATTAAACTACTAAATGAACTTTTCTAATACACAAATCTATTCTGAAAAATTTCAGAAAATTTCGAAACCACAACATTTATTAAGCTTTAAGGGTAAGAAGACCGTGCCTTACACAAAAATTAGCATTCATAGATACAGAAAAAACTCTGTTTTTGCAATTGTCGACGTTTCAACGTTTCCTAACGTCTTTTGTGCGGAAAGTGCAAAGTTCTCTTGTCCGCGTCTGCTAGGTACTGTAGAAGAATCGCCTCTTACGTGCTTAACAGGTGCAGATATCGTTTCATTTCTATTGCGATACGACAAAGTCGCGCGATGTTTAAGTTATATTTAATTAACAGCGGAAACACATGAATTTAGAATATAACCTGTCAAGTAGGTACAAAAGAGAAGCATTTCAAAAAGTATTAGGAGAACGTTTTTTTTATATGAATGACTTATAAAACATGAAATTTTTTCGTTAATTCTGAAATACGTTAAATCGAGGTTTTACTGTAATGATCTACAGAAAATTGTCATAAAAGTTTTTGTATGAATTAGCTTTATCGAAAGTACTTTGGCCGAGTCCTGAGGCAAGCAAGCGAAGCTAACTTAACCATGAAACATTGAAAAATTGTGTTGTTCGGCGAATTCACAGAAAAAAAAAATGTTGCTTTCTATGCCAAAGATTTTCCTCTTTTCCAAGTTTCACTTTGATAAATAGATTAAAAATATGTAAAATTTAAAATTTTAAACTTGTATAAGACATAATTGATGTATTTCAAAGACATTTTCGAAGAATATTTTATTATGTAAAGGAGAATTTTAGTTTAATATAACATTCACAGACCGATACTGTGTCAAATAAATAGATTTAATATAAATAGTTTACGGGAATGTATTTACGTTCTTTGTCCACTAATTCTCGAATAGTTCGCTTCTGTGTAACGTGTTAAAAACATGGAGTTTTCTGGGTTTCATTCATATGTATACTCCTCCAGTTGTCTGCGAGGAACCTCACGTATGCAGATCGTCCATGTGTTGCTTATGTTTATGCTACCAATCCAATTTACGTAATCAATGTATAAATTAATCAACCCAATTATTTCTCTTTATAAATCCTGTAATATAGCATTAGTAAATTGTGAGAAGACCACCACTTCCCCCTCCAAAAAATATCTAGATATATATATATATATACAGTAGAGCGTCGTTTATCCGAAGGTCGGTTATCCGAAATGTCGGTTATCCGAAGGAATTCCAGTCGACAAATTTAAATTTTCGCCAGTGCTGTGGCGCTGTAATCTTTGGCTATGTCTTCGGCTACTCAAATATTTTACGTTTTTGATACTAAATTAACTTCTGAAGTATAATTTTTTATTGTTTTTATATTTTTCAATATATTTATTTTGTTTGTACAAAATAAAAAAATAATTTTTAACGATACAATAGTCTTCGTTAGGCTTAACATCGACGAAAATTCAACGCGAAGCGACACGCAACGAAGAAAAATTTCAACACGGGATAAATTAATATATTTTTTCGTACATAATTGGTTATCCGAAAAATGAGTTATCCGATCAACCCCAGTCCCCAATTTATTCGGATAAACGGCGCTCTACTGTGAGTCGCATGAATTCGAATATCCGTCGTTAGGCACACCCTGGTTGTATAGATAAAAATAGGAAAATTTCCAAAATCAGCTTTTATAATTCTGTTTTAAACTTTTGTTTATGTTAATAAATGTCCTTAAATTGGTTATATCTGACTCTGCATTCTTCCTCCTGAAAGGCTAATTCCTGGACTTCAGAGTGGCTCTTACCCTCGCTCTTTAGTCATCCATTTCATCAAAAACGGCAGTATGTCCGATAAAACACACCTGGTGGCAGGACTTTACCCAAAAAGGTACGTAATAAACCTTTACAGCCCTCGAACCCCACAATTGTCTTTCAATTTACGTTTCATTTCCATTTATGTCATACAATGAAATATTCAAGATCTTAATAGGAATCGTGCACATAAAAAATACAAAAAAGTCATTTTATACGTTTAAATTATAACAATAATTTAAACGTATAAAATGATTTTTTTTGAAAAACGTATAAAATAGCGTAATCTAAAATTTAGTTATGAGTTTAAAAATTCATATTACAATGAATTTTTACTGTTATACGTGTGTGATTTATACAGTAACACTTATAATACACTTTTCCATCCAGTAGTTAGCTTGAAAATTCTATGTATATTTAAATTCCATATGTTAGGAACATATTTTCTTACATAGTTTCATTGAGCTTTGGATCATTTCTGTATTTTAATTATGTTGAACAACTTAAGGTAAGACATGAAAAAAATGGAAAACTGGCCTGATCAAGAAAAATGATACAAAAAAACATAAAATTTACATCATAACATAAAAAGTGAGATCTCCACATAAGAAAAAAATATACAATTGATATGGAAGAGATAAATGAATACGCAGAAGATAAAATAATCTCTCTTTATTGTTCAATATGACATCTCTGCTTTGCAGTTACTATGAACAATAGAGCAGAATAAGGTTACGAAACATATTAAGCAAAGGAAATAAACTTGAATAATGTATTTAATAGAGATTAATAAATTTATATATATATATTTTTAGTCATTATGTCATAGGTTAAATTTCTACTTCTTCCAGTGTATATGCTAATGACCACTCTTATGAGGAAAAAAATGAATATACCATTTACAAAAAGCCGGATAGAAACATTATCGCTACTGTCGATAAAACAACAGGAAATCACCTTAGATTTTTTTGCAAAGTACAAAAGGGCGAACCAGTGGCCAAGCAGGTCCGTTTCCTGAACACTGGGAGTTGGGTCGTTCACAGGAAACGGAGTGGTCTTGCCAGGACGGGCTGGCCACGTGGAGTTTTTTCGGGTTTTCGCCACGTCTGTAACGCCTGAATAGGGGCCAGATACCCTTAAAAAACTTCCGGGAAGACATTTCCCTAGGTAGATCGCCCAACATTTGCGTTGCCGTAACTTAACTGAAAATAAACAATCAAAGTGCATAAGCACAAAATTAGCAACAGTATAATGAGCAATTACGAGTGTGGAACACATACTTCAATTGGTGCACTTATTCATAAATTCGGATAAATGACACAATAAATATACTTTTCTGTCATTTAGTAAAAAGAGAAGTAAGAAATTTTCGAATTTTAACTCAAGTATTTCATAGTTACTTCTATTTGCACTTCCTTAATATTAATTCTAAAAATATAGCCTAGCCCATATATTTTAAAATGTATTTCAGCTTACTAGTTAACTCTGTATATTTTGGAGACAATACCTTCATATGTTTCTAAACATTCAATTGTTTTTTAAATGCGATATTGAGTTACTATAGCAATAATCAGTAACAGCAGCTTATTTACGCATTGCATTCGATATGTAAAATTTTATGCTGATAAATTACTAATCAAATTAATTAAAGATGTTTAAAAAATAATTATATCAATAATATTTTATTTAGAAATAATAGATGTTAATTAATACCTATGCATAACGAAAGACATGAGGCAGCTGTGGTTAAGCTGAGACACAGCTCATCACATGTTCTGTCTGGTTAATTAAAAAGGGGTTACAAATAATGTCTTTGTGATTCGCTAGACATAACGTAACAACGGTCTGTATAAAGTCATCCTAAAATGCCAACCCAGGGCTTTGAAAATTCGGGATGTAATCAGGGAGTAAGCCGAAAATATATTTATGTCCGCACATCTCAAATATGTTGTCATGTTTCTAACTATAGTAGACATGGTCTATCAAAAAAAAGTTGTGTTAGTTGACAAAAAAGTTGTGTTAGTGCCCATAGAATACAGAGTCTTAAATAAATAAATATGTGCTTATTGTTTATGATTTAAAATTTAGTGATTGACTCCTAGCAATTATGCATAACAGAATTCTAACATTTTAATCTTTTTTTCAGACATAATGCATCAAATTTTCATCCTGATTTATTTACTAATACATAAGTACCATATTTCATTATGAACTGGCTTTCTTCTTTTCAATTTGATGTAAGATGTAGACGGATAGTAATGACTTTATTAACAGGTATGATTTACTTACAACAATATTTATATATTATATTTAGTTTTAATATAAAAAAATATTTTTTTTAGTATAGAACATATCTTTATTCTTTAAACTGTACGTACTGATTTCAGAACAAATACCCTCTTATTCCAAGAAATTTATCTTATGCAAATAGCTCTTATCTTAACTCGTTCTTATAATATTTTACATTATAAAATTTAAAAGTTACACGCTCAGAGTCGTCGATAATTATTATCCATTACTATTGAGAGTTTTTATTCTAATTTAAGCCTACATAATTATACACACGAACACAAGACAAACGTTTGTAACAACAGTATTTAGAGTATTTAGATAAGAATAGAAAGTCAATGTGCTTATCTATCTTAGAATATATAAACGCCATATTAACCCATATCTGTGTTCAGATCTTTCACTTAATTACACACATCAATCTTAGTTTTATTACATTTTGTTTCGTTAATAAACAAATTTTAAGCAATATTTGCAGTTTTCTCTCGCATCACAAACTTGTGTTTTACACGAAGACAAGCAAAAGAATATCTCATAGGATATGCAACGTGCGATGACATGCAACGTCTGTATGATCCACTAAAAAATTCTTAGAAACAAGGAGTAAAGAAGTAAGGATACAATAAAAAACATATAACTACATACGTATGTAGATGTAGAGCTGTATAAAAATGTGTATGTGAAAGCAAGTTAAGTATTAGATTAATTAGAATTAATTGAAAATGTGAACAACCGTGCAATGCAAGGAAGCATTATAATTGCAGAATAAGTCACATCCAATCAAATAGAAATTAATTTCTCAAAGAAAACATCGTATAATTGATAAAACATTCACAGCAAATTTACAATATTATCATTGAAGCGAAGATAAAAAAAAACTAGGTCAATTTTTGTTAATTAGATAATGTAATTAATTCATTAAATTGCAGAAAAATGTGTTAAAATATCTTGAATTATGTAAATTCTCATTCTGAGAATTTAAAATCAAAACTTCTTAATATATTTTTTTAAATGTCTAGCAGATTATAAATGTAAGATGAAAGGTCGTTTTACTAGTACAAAATCCTGTTAGAATGTGATTAATATAGAAAGGTGGAGAGCATTATCTACATCATCATCACTCTGTAAATAATCAAAGTTTACCTGAGTAAAAAGATAAGCTTTGCGTATTATTACTTAAAATTTATGCAAAAAACTAGCGTATATTATTTGATTCGTTCAGTAAAACTAAACAATAATAAACACCTAGTTCTGTCGCCAGAAAATTGACAAATTGAAAGTGTTAAAAATACACGTTCATATTCAAGCTTAAGGTAAGATAACTTTATTAATGAATTAATCCACTGATAGACTCTCGTGATGTCCTTGTAAGTATCAAACTGTAAACAAATACTCTATTGTTTAAAATGCATACCTAATACTGTTTGCTAGGTTAACAAAATGAACACACCTCTAACTCCTTACCCACTTGAGACAAGTTGATGGATGATTATTATTATTATAACTTTTTCTATTTAAAAATTTTTCATTTTGTACTTAAAAAAAAGATAGAGTTATATTTGTAAAAATCTTGATGCAACATTTTTTGATCTTGAACCAAAGAATTGATCTGAAAACTAATGTAATATAAAATATTTTACTGTAGTTTTTTTATATATATAAATTTTTTATCCTCTAGTTTAACTATTGAATTGTAAAAGTTAACTTAGCAAATTTTGTCGGATTTTTTGCGTGTTTTTTAACATTTTAAGATGCTAACGTAATTCGTAATCATTTAAATCTATGTATGATGAATAATTGTGTCTCTCATAACAATCACGAAGCCCACAATGGAGAAAAATTTGACATATGGGGCAAAACACGTCATGAAGAAACCATTAATAAAATTCTATAAGTACTACACGAATTCGAAGCGTGGAGGAAGACTGACTTCATTTCACTCTTCGACCAAAGCATCAGAGATAAAATGAATAAATAAAATATTTCTTGGTCATACCCCTTATTAATATAAAAAAATAATTCGAATAGCGCTGTTTTAAGTATTGAGTGGCAAAATATTTAAGTTTTCTTGTATTAAGTTTCGTGTGCACTTCAAAATAACACGGAAATAGCTATTTTTGCACATTTCGTAAAATTGGTAAAATTAAATACAAACTCATATTTATATAAACTTTTACGTGAAAATTTAAAAATTCTGAATTTTTGTTCACGTTAATTATTTAATAATTAATATAATTTATATATAATTAGTTATACAAGAATAACAAATGTGACCGTTGAACCTTTTTCTAGCCTCGTCCCGGATCTTAGTTTCGGTTTTGATTTCGTTTTCATTATAAATTCGGCTTGTTTTTCGTCTTCAACAAATGTAATTTTGCTCAAAACGTAAGAGATGGGTCCGAAGAAGAAGGGAAAAAGTGGAAAAGGAAAAGGCAAGTAACCATTAAGAATTAAATTAGTATTTAATATACTTTATATTTAAAATCTGTATATTAAAATTTTCGACTCTTCCTTTTTATGAATCATGCCAAATGTAGAAAACAATGTTGCAAAAACGCTCGAGCCTGTTCATAAGTTGTGAGTTGACGAAGTTCAGCGTGACGGATGGTAACAGGTCTCAAATTTGCTCATTACGAGTGGACTAAGTTTAATGTACACATTTATAATTATTTATAAATGTCGGCATTATTTAAAAATAACGCATTACACAGTCATCACTGAGTCACTCCTTAACAAACGTTACAAACAAGTAATTCGAGGTATTGACACCTCACCACACAGCTGCCCCATTGTAAAGCCTTCCAACTCAACCCTTCGAACTTTCATGAAAAAGTGTGTTGAAAGGTGAGTTTAACTCCTATTCTGGAGTTTCGTGCGAAAATATTTGCAACATATTGCATATTGCTTGGCACCATAGAGACTAGAGAGATAATTTCATCTAATCCATACTTATCATCTATATTACAATTATAATTAGATTAGATAAATTACAAACTTGTTATCTGGGAAGGATAAATGCAAAAGAGAAATATGAAAATACAGTTTGTAGAATGAGCGTAGACGAAACTAGGCACTTTTATATATTTATTAATCTGAATCATATAATTACATTGTTTTATTTGTTTTACCTATTATAATTCTAATAGTAAATAAATAGAATACAAGATAATATGACAATGTGTTATTACACTGTTCAACGTTATAATATTACTGTAATACACTGTATATTAAAATGTATCACTATTATGTAGATTGTACACTACTATGTTATATTATTGTACCAGTACATAACCTATTTTTATAATTTGTACCGGTACATAATTCATTGGAGTAGAGAGTGTGAGTTTTGGATGTTACTTAAATTTAGACTTTAATTTAAATTTTCGTTTAATCTCACGTATGTAAAGCGAAACAATCGATAAGCAAGTGCAGTTCATAGTTATCTACCCAAAAGTTATGCAAATGATGTTCTAGACATCTTCTACACTGACAAGTAAAAGAATAAATTTAGGGAATGAATAACGCTTTACATTCGGGCTATGAATAGCAAAATAATTACATTGACAGGAATTATTTATATCTTAATATTTGCACATAATCGTTTATTTGTAAACAATTGTTACTTTAAATAATTAATCTGTATATAGGATACGTATAATTAAATTTACGTCTGTCTGCTGTTTCTTTGATTATTACTTAAAAGCAGCTAATAAAATTTATATTTTAGCATATAGGTTAATTTCCAATTAATGCGGATGTCTGTCTATAAGGATATAACGTAATAATTTTTAAATCCTTCTAATGTTGTACATTGTATTTAGTATAAATTCTTATGTAAAGTATGCTTTTGGTTTGATTTATTATAAGTACACTAGTAGCCTGGGACGCGCCCTAGTGGGCGTTATTTACACATCTCCATGAGGCACAGTTCCTTTGACTTGTTTGTTCTATCAATATGCTGTACATCTCTGTTAAAGTCCCAATTGTAAGATTTACCCTTTGAATGAAGAGGTGGCAACCCCACCCCAAACTGTAGCCCCTCTGCGAACAATAAAGTCAAAGAAACCATACCCCTACTCGCGACCCTTCTCGAGATATAAGCCCCTAAAATAATAAATTCCTATTACAAATATACTGAATTATTTATATTGTTATATTGACCAAATAATAATTTATGGGCCAAATGAATAATAATAATTTATATTGTTAATTCAAATAGTAATTAAAATTGTTAATTTGAATGTTTGAAATATGACACACAATAGGGGCGCCTCTAGTGTCCGTTATCAAACGGTTTCGCAGACAGACACCCGTTGAATGAATTATATATGTAGATATATACATCTTTTAACTGCAATTTAAAAAGGAAAAAATGTGGAGTTATAAATTCCCACTCTTATCAGTCCACTGTCTGTCATTTCTGAATCTCGATAACGGAGTTCGGTTTGATGAACTGTGAGATCTAATATGGAAATCACAGGTGTAGAAGGGCTTGATTAAATATATAAAAACTTCCAACACAAACCCGAAATCACGTTATTTTTGTTCACACATTTCTCCCTGAAAGTTGTTATATGCATCACTGGCACGAATCTATTGTTAAAGGAAGAGTATAATGTGCAGGGTCAAGTCAAAACTAATTCGAGGTGGAGAGCATATATTTTAAATTAAATAAATAAATAAATAGCAGCCATACATTGTGATGATAATTGTGAGGATTCTAGGGATTTTTAGATTCAAACCCCACTTCTGTGACACCAATTTGTGAGCCACCGGGAGGGAGGAGCTGGCCTCTCTTTCCGGCNTTTTACTGTAATGATCTACAGAAAATTGTCATAAAAGTTTTTGTATGAATTAGCTTTATCGAAAGTACTTTGGCCGAGTCCTGAGGCAAGCAAGCGAAGCTAACTTAACCATGAAACATTGAAAAATTGTGTTGTTCGGCGAATTCACAGAAAAAAAAAAAAAATGTTGTTTTCTATGCCAAAGATTTTCCTCTTTTCCAAGTTTCACTTTGATAAATAGATTAAAAATATGTAAAATTTAAAATTTTAAACTTGTATAAGACATAATTGATGTATTTCAAAGACATTTTCGACGAATATTTTATTATGTAAAGGAGAATTTTAGTTTAATATAACATTCACAGACCGATACTGTGTCAAATAAATAGATTTCATATAAATAGTTTACGGGAATGTATTTACGTTCTTTGTCCACTAATTCTCGAATAGTTCGCTTCTGTGTAACGTGTTAAAAACATGGAGTTTTCTGGGTTTCATTCATATGTATACTCCTCCAGTTGTCTGCGAGGAACCTCACGTATGCAGATCGTCCATGTGTTGCTTATGTTTATGCTACCAATCCAATTTACGTAATCAATGTATAAATTAATCAACCCAATTATTTCTCTTTATAAATCCTGTAATATAGCATTAGTAAATTGTGAGAAGACCACCACTTCCCCCTCCAAAAAATATCTAGATATATATATATATATACAGTAGAGCGTCGTTTATCCGAAGGTCGGTTATCCGAAATGTCGGTTATCCGAAGGAATTCCAGTCGACAAATTTAAATTTTCGCCAGTGCTGTGGCGCTGTAATCTTTGGCTATGTCTTCGGCTACTCAAATATTTTACGTTTTTGATACTAAATTAACTTCTGAAGTATAATTTTTTATTGTTTTTATATTTTTCAATATATTTATTTTGTTTGTACAAAATAAAAAAA